CAGTCATCAAAAAAAAAAAAAAAAAAATCAGAAGGAATATCTGCTAAATTGAAAGGGGGGGATTCATGCTAAAATGAAAGAAATTTGGAACTTATTGTAAGAAAAATTATTTGCTTTCAGCTAAGTATATGACTGCTGAGGAGAAAGCCCGGCATTTTGTTTTTTTCTACATTAGTGAAGCAATTATGTTTCAACAGGAAATGCATGAATAGCTGCTGAAAGCTAAATGGAAATGCCCAAGATATTTTCACTAAACAATCACTTTTGAGAGCTGGAAAGCTTTTAAGCAGACAGAACTGCTCTGTGCTTCCCATAAATAAAAAACACCCTTTTCAGATATACAGTAAAAGCTGTGTTATCTGGCTCTTTCCCATCCGGAATGCTTCATTAATCAGCATCTGTCATAGACAGCATCTGTTGTTTATGGCAGTGGATCAATGCAGCAAAAGCAAAACCAGAAGTCCCACCATGGCACTTCTGGTTTTGCTCAGTCCCACTTCTTCCTTGAGGACCATGGCCTGCATGGGGCTCCCCTCCCTGTCGCCCGGCACGCTGACACCAGGGAGTGAAAGCCCTGGTGCACCGGCAAAGACGCCTCCAACCTGCTGGAAATAAGCTCTCAGATAACCAGCATATTTGATTAACCGGCACCCCTTATTCCCCATGGATGCCAGATAACAGCTTTTACTGTACCTTGAAAGGTTTAAAAAGCCAAAGAAAACTGTTGTATTCTCCACCATGAGCCGAATCATCCAGGATTATAGAGTTACAGTAGGGATGCATTTGGCTCCTTATTTTTGAAGAACTAAATCTTTCCAAAAGTGCAGGAATGGGATTTTGTAGAAATTACAAGGAGTTAATCTGCCATGTTGATTCCTCTGATCAGTCCATGCCCTCAGTGTGGCATTCACTTAGGACTGTCAGAGAGCCCCAAACACCCAGATTTCTCTTTTCACAAAGTCAGTGTAGATATTGAGATGGAAAGATGGAAGCTGCCCAAGAACCGATACAAACTATTGTAATGAGTTCTTTTTTTTTCTTTCTCTTTCTCTTTTATTATGTCTAATACTCACACACACACACACATGCATGCATATGCACACACATGCAAACACATTCCTTGAATATAATATATACTAAACAGCAGCTAGCTGGTGTTCAGCTGTTTTCCTAAAGCCAGCCCTGGAGTAAAGAATGTTTTACTAACTGAGCATTATTTACCTTATAGAATATCAGCAAAAGATCATCCAGTTTTCCATGCAAATCACCTAAAGGGAATAGAGCATTCCAAGTTTTGTAACAAAGTAGGGAACAAGGTGTCCATTACAGACAAATGAGAAAGCTGGAGCTACACTATAAGTAGTTATATTAACACGCTTTGTCATGTTTTCTTTTGCAGAGCTGTCCTTGTTTTTTAAATATGCAGGCCAGTTTCACACCTAAGTCTGTCCATTATGTACTTGATGGAGTACATAATTGCTTAACTAAAGCCTTAAGCATTGCAAGTGGGGGCTGTTTAATAGTATCAGATCAGAGGCATGCTTGAAAATGGTTGTTCAAATGAAGATCCCAGTGCTCTATGGCAGTGGTCTCCAAACTTTTTTGATCGTGCACCCCATCAGTAAAAAATTTTTGAGCACACATCTCCAGCATACGTATATTTATTTATTTATAAATTATATACATGTACTACTTGCGTACCGTACGTGACGTGACCGTCTGACATATAGACCGAGTGAGGGCGCCAGTGACAACCCATATATTAAATATTAGTAAAGCTTAATTTCATTCTTATTTTTTTAGATAAAAAATAAATGTAAATAGAAGTTCTAATATTTCTTCCTGCACCCCAGTGGATCATCTTGCGCACTCCCTTTGGAGACCACTGCTCTATGGTAAAATATATTGTGAATCTTAGTTTCCGTAAATGTGCTATGCTAACAGTCATAGCAAGTGAGAGGCTCCCTACAAATACTAACACCAAATAGATAGGAGCCTAGGAAGAAATGTTTAGCCTGTCCATGGACATAGCTCATATGTGCTAAGGTACTTAAGCAGATGACCATGCTTAATAGGGCAACTAGATTAATTTATATGCCCATGCAGAATGACAGAATTTTTAAGAAGTCACTAATCATTCCTTTTTAAAAAAAAAATCCATCATCTAGCATCTGTTAGACTATTGGAATAGATTATCTACAGAATATAATACAGGGCCATAATTCACATTACCATGAGCAGGGTGAGGAAGAGAAAGCATAAGGAATCTTAAGCCTTTGTACCTCTACACAAAGGGCAGCAGTTAAGCATCACCAGAAAGGTTTTTAATGGAATTAACTACTATTCAGCAGACCAAACTTGCTGCTATGCAAAGGGATTCTGTTGTATAGATCTCCTCTGCACAGAAGTGGAAGTGCATCTCACCCACTGCAATGCGGGGGAGAGGGTGTGGAATCAGGCTTTTTACCTGTCCAAATAAAATGCAGAATTTACCCAGAATACGCCAGTGATCTCACACTTTCACTACTAATGTTAAAAACAGGAGCAAGATGGCATTTTTATCCTGCTCATGGATGATACATGCAGCTCTGTGAATGCCTGATTGAAAGTCTGTTACAAGAGTCCCCTAGACTTCAATGGTCTTTGGACCCAGACTATTAAGGGAAACATGCCAGATAAATATTTACGCCTCAGAAGCAGTTTGGTATTAAAAGAGAATCTTGAAAGGAGTGAAAGATTATTTTAAAGTAATCATATTTTGGATTCAACATCAGTAAGAATATGGCTTTCATCTGCTACAAAGGCTATTATTTGTTTGAATGGCAGGATGGGAAGTTTTTTAGATGCTGCTTAAATAGTGCTAATGAGGATACAATTAGGAGGAGATACCTATATTTATTAGCAAAAGGTGCTTACCAGTGAGCACGTGTTTCTTTGGTTTATGTTTTTGTTGTTGTTTTTAAAGTCCAGTGATATTTTGTATGAAGAGCCATTTACTAAAAATCCACTCTTATTTGCAATTGCATTAGGTGCTTAAGCAACTCTAATGAAAATGCTGGTATCTATCTGCACCTGTCATCATACATTATGCATTCCTCAGAATGTTAACCCTAGTTGCCAGAATTTAATGTTGCTATTACTATTCTGTTTCACAGCTAGATGTTGTTATAATAAACCATGATGTATCATCCTTTTATCACTAATAGATGACAGCATAGTAAAATGAATGGAGGACAAGGAGTTAATTCTGAAACTTTTACCCACATCTTACATTACTGTGAAGACAAATATATTTGTTGTGTAAAGAATAATTAATTCCTATTCATCCTTTTAGTAGACAAAGACTAACAAAAGTTATTATGCATATTAGGTGTGCAATATAACCTATTCCAGGGACAAACATGCTGTTAATCAGACATTTCATTCTGGTGTCCATAGAAATAGTGGTAGTTGAAAGGTTTGGTGCTGCTGAGCATAAAGATGGCAGATTTTCATCTTAAATGTGGTTAATTTCAGCATGTTGACTATTGGCTGCAGTATATGTCCATCAAGCAACATAACCTTTCATTTTACAACTGGAAAAGGCAGAGGCAAAATTTCAGGACACTGCCACCCTTCAGCTCTGTTAGAAAATGTAACAATAACTGGGAGCACTACTGATTTACTGGACATCAGGCTGCATTCTCCTCCCCTCCCAATGCATAAGCCAAGAAGGAACATGACACTCTTTACTCAGGGAAACTGTCACTGAAAGCACTGCAAAGCAAGATGTGATGGAACACCCTTTTCTCAAGGACACAATAGGACAGTGTTTCCCAACCAGTGTGCCACGGCACAAAAGTGTGCTGTCAAAAATGAACAGGTGTGCCGCAGAATGTTGCTATGGCAATGAGCTACAATAGGTCTGAGAATGGGGAAGGCCTTACCAGGCATGCCGCGGAAAAAAATTATTAATGTAAGTGTGCTGTGGGCTGGAAAAAGTTGGGAAACACTGCAATAGGCTGATGATGACACTGGTAGAAAATTTACTGCATTAGCAGCATAATTTTTACATAGGGCAGTACTGGGGAGGCGCTTTAAGCTGCATTGCAATGGGCTTGGTTTAAACACTGACTCACCCAATAATACCAGGACAAAAAAGCAAAAGAAGATTTTTGATTTTCTTAAAATGTACCACCGGGTGACTCAACACCATTTGCTTCCTTGGTTTGGGTAGATCTACACTCTTTTAAAACTATCTAGAGCAGTGGTGCTCAATCTCCAGCCTGCAGGGCCATGTCATTAGCCTGCAGGGCTTCCCACGGGTCTGGTAATTTGGCAACAGGGGAGCAGTAACAGCATTTACTGCCACCACTTTCAGAGGCACAGCACTTAACTTTGCCATCATTCTGGACCTGTGGGTCACCCAGTGGGCTGAATGACACTGGCTGGTGTGTGGGGTTGTGCTGGGGCTTGGCCAGTACACAGGATCACACTGCGACAGGATATGGCTCACGGGGCCTGGCTGGCACACAGGGTTGCACCTACAAATTAACCCTGTTTATAGGAATCTGGTGCCATGCCACTTGTCTGGCCAGCAGGGCCAGAAGGTTGAGCCCCATTGATCTAGAACATTCCAGCCATCACTGCTGCTGTAAATATCTGTATCCTCCTCTGAATACAAAGCAATGCACAGTATCATGTTGTGGCCAAAACTAGCTCTCTTCATGGGTACCTTACCACAGATGGTTATCTCTTTGGAATAGGAAGTCGACAGATGGGTGATGTTTGGCATCTGTCGAAGAACTCTCCTTGTTTCATGTAGAAGCTGTAACACATAGCGGGCATGCAGTTGCTGCAAAGGAACATGACAAAATAAGGAAGGCTTATGAAAGATAGAAACAGACCTTTCATGAAGTAGCCTCATCCAGCATTTCTCAACCTGTGGGTCGCAACCCAAAAGTGGGTCCCAAGAATATATGAAAAGGTCACGAACAAACTTTAAAAATAGATTCTCTGTTAAAAGAGAAAAACATAGGAAACTGTAGGTTTTCCCTTGCAGGTTGCCAGAGTTCCAACCTGTGAGGGGCTGCTTGGAGCCCCCCATACCGCCCACACTCACCCCCTGCCACACACACTGAGGGATTGAGTCCTGGGAGTGGGAAGCAGCAGCATGGGAGTGAGGGGCACTGGGTCAGGACTGGTCATTAATGTTTACAAATGGGTCCTGGTACAAAATAGGTTGAGAACTACTGGCCTAGTTTATCCCAAACAACCATGAATTTCCTATTAGTACTTGTCACCTACAGATTGTTTGCACTGAGCTTACATGTTCTTAACACATGTTCTAATGCCAAGAATCAGGAGCTCCCATGCTCTAACTTCTAGTAGCCCTAGAGAACTGCTACACAGCTTCACGTATATGAAGGGAAGGCTTCACTTGTATACTTCAGGGCCTTGCCACACATTCAAACTAAAGCTGGACAGAAACCAGCTATAAAGTTGTTACACATTTTCAAGTGCTAACTTTGGAGCTGGTTGGCTTTTTTTATAGCTGGATGGAAATGTTTATGGTGCGAGCATTACTTTGTATGTGTGGCCAGTCTAAATTTATTGCATAATTAGCCAGTAGATTGCATGGTAATTACCTTGCACATGTGGCCAGTCTTAATTCATTATGCAGTTAACCAGCCGTGAATGTTTCAGAGCACTTTCAGGGGGCCAATCATGCAACAAATGTAGCTTCTGTCTGCACCCTTAGAGATTGGCAGGAACCAGTGCTTCAGGGGCAGCACAGGTCCCTGCAGCTGTGGCAAGCAGAGCTGCAACTCCCAGTCCCAGCTGGGATGCAACACTGCCCCCTATCACCGAGAACCAAGTCCAGTAGCATCAGCCTGTTACTGAACCTACAGCAGCTGCTCTCCCTCCCTCCCACCTTGGAGGCAGGGGGGAAGGAGAAAGGAGTACTATGGGATCTTGGAGGATTGAAAGAACCCTTGTAGCATGATATGTAACTGTTCATACTTTACATGGGGTGCTAAAAAATGCAGCACTATAAAGGAGTTCCTGTTTCAAACAAGAACCCTTCTCTGTCAGATCTGCTGTTTGTCTTGAAGATATTTAATCTCTTTGCTCCCCTCTGCTGCAAAAGCTGTTTTGTGCTGGGAGTCCTTCTGTTAATGGTATGTATGATTATCCTGGCAGACGGTGATTTTAGAGCTTTTAAAGTATTCATCTGAATACATTATTCAGCTGAAGTTCTACTCAGACGGTCAGACCTATTTAGAAAGGTTGACTTGGGGGACTGCCTTTTAAAAGAAAAGTCTCAAAGGCAAACTACTGCCCCTCTACATCTTTTAAAAAGGTTCCTGATCAAAAAATAAACCCTAATTTTTACTTGGAGGTGAGATAGCCGACCCTGAAGGGTGACTTTTATCATTTACTCTTCTGTTTAGCATACTCTGTCTGCTAGTTCTCTCCCCCAGGGAAAATACTGGAAGTACCATTCTTCAGTAAATTTAAAACTCTGCTGGACTATTAGTAGTTAGCGCTTAGAGTACTAGTAGTTAGCACTTAGACTTGCAGTTTAAATGGTCACATGGATCACCTTCCCAACACTTTGTACTATAAGCATTAATGCCATTTTGCAGATGAACACACTAAGGAAAAGGGTCTTAAGAAGATATGCTAAGAGGTGGAAGCAGAGTCAGCTTAAGCTTTCCTGCCCACTATGGTTGAGACTTGAACCATCTCAAAAGACCAATAAATGAACAGGCAATGGAGTCTTTCTCCCACTTTTTTATATTAATTTTTTTTAATGTCTACTTTAGAGAGAAATAATGTCTTTGCCCCTTCTTAACTCCCTCACCCACAAAGTAACACCTGCTCTTGATTGGTGAGAGAGTTGAGGGACAGCTTCTTGCCCCAGCAACTGAAGATAAAATACTTCTACTCACCTGATCATTATCTTCTGAAGCACCGTATACTTAACTTTGTGTTAAAATCAATACCAGATCTTTAGCTCTTCTGTACCCACAACAGGTCACTATGTCTCCTTCTAAAGAGCTTAGACTAAATTTTAAGAAATACTTCTCCATAACAGCATATTTCTCCATAAAACATCTGATATTAAACTTTATCATAGGCCTGACAATTCCATTTAAAAAATAAATCAGCCTCATCTCTGCTTCCAACTTGCCTGGTGGTACTTGAAAGCATGAAGTAGAGCAGCAGTATCCTCAGCAGTGAGTGGAAAGGACAGCCGAGGTCCACGATAGGAGTGTGGAACCTCTATCATCTTCTCATATTCTAGTAACACAAGGTCTGAACTGGTGGTATTAAAATCACTGATGCCATCAAAAAAGTGAGAAACTGAATCTATAACAAGAGAAGTGAAAAAAAGAAAACAGTTTGTTATTCTGGAAGGCGACACAAGCCTTTCTGCCATTAATGTATAAATAATACTGTGGGGCAGAGCTGTACTGCTACCCAGCATGTCCACGAGTGACAGATAGTGAAATGACCTTCAGGGAAGGTTAGCTGTGAAATAAGCAGCGGTAACTCTGACAAATAAGCAGCCATGGTCCAAGCAGCAGCAGCACCACCAGGATGTAGTAAGGGCAGCAGATGGCAATGGTTTCCCTCCTAAAAAGCCACATATAGCCTTTGACAGTGCTTTAACATGGCAAGTACAGGTTGCCACTATAAGTCTGCCCAGCCCCCGGCCATAGGTCTATAAGTTCTCAATGGTGGAGCAGGCAGAAGCAGGTAAAATCTCAATGGCTGTGAAAGCGAAGGAAGGCTGCAGCAGAACAAGATCCCCAATTGTCTTGATCTCTTTTCCATTGGATCAAGGTCCTGTTCTGTTAAGAGTCATCTGGAAGCCTATGTGCAGCAGCATCTCCACAATAAAAGAAATCATGCATAGGCATCTTCCATGAAAACAGCTTTTCCAGCACATTCCTTAAGCCCTTTGGTGACCAGCTAATGGTGATGGGAGCAGGATTGTGAGATCTGGATGCTCTTAGTCATGAACTGGCATGAAGGTGGCAGTTACAAGATCATCTAGCACTTGGACAAAATAGGAGTGTGATTTGGCAGCTGAAACTATGACTACGCAGCCCTTTTCATGATCTGCTCTGCTCACCCTACATGGGGAGGGGGCTAGAAAAGATGCCCTAAACATATCCTGTCTACATTTCGTCCTGGTTGGACAACAACATCCAGTGGGACCACCTTTACTGCAGTTGAAAATACCAATGAAAACACCCAATCGTTTTCGGGTCCTGGAACATTAGGACTCTCACAGACAACCCTAACAGTGAATGCCCAAAGCACTGCACTGTAATTGTGGCCCAAGAACTCAGGTGACACAATATTAATGTAGCTGCACTAAGTGAGACCTGGCAAGTGGGAGATGGGAAGCTCAAAGAACATGGAGATGGGTATAGCTTCTTTTGGGAAGCTAAAGAGGAAGGAGAACACCAACTTCACAGAGTTGGTTTTGCCATTAAGAATTAACTCATAAACCTACTCAATGAGTTCCCTATTGGAATTAATGAGCACCTCATTAATCCATCTTAAACTGGCAGGGAGCCAATATGCAGTCATTAGTGCATATGCCTCAACTTTTGACGCTGCCAATGAAACTAAGAAGGAATTCTATGCCAACCTTGACCAAGTCCTTTCTAACATTCCAGAGGGAGACAGACTTATTTTTCTTGGTTAATTTAATGCCAGAGTCAGAAGGGACTCTAACTTCTGGAATGGAACCACTGGCAAGGAAAGGTCAACTCCAGTGGCATCCTCCTTTTGACCAAATGTGCAGAACATGGACCCACCATCACCAATACCCTGTTCCACCAGAAAAAACAGGCATAGGACATGATGGCAATGCCCACAGTCTAAGCACTGGCACCTGACTGTCTATGTCATAGGCTGTGCCTGGGATCACAAAGCTGTCTGCATCACTCAAGCTATACTAGGAGCTGATGATTGCTGGACTAATCGCTGACTCATCCACTCCATTATGTCATTCAAACTGGCTCCCAAACGATGGCTGCAGTAGAAGCAATGGTGATGGAAAATCAATGTTAAAGGACTCAAGGACTCAAGCAAGCAAGACCTCTTCCACCGGTGCCTCAATGAAAAACTGGTGAATTCCAATCAACAATAGGAGAATGTCAGCAGCATGTTGGGTGCCCTCAAGGCCACCATCATCAATGCCTGTGAAGAGACACTTGGATTCTCTACCAGGAAACATCAAGACTGGTTTTATGAGAATGACTGGGAGATCCTAGAGTTGATCAATCAAAAGAGCAAGGCCTTTTGTGTTTATCAAAACAGCATCAACTCCATGCAAAAAAAATCTCCAACAAGCCAAGGCACAGGCCCAAAGGAGGACCCGTGATTTGAAGAGCAAATGGTGGGAAGACAAGGCCAAGGAGATTCAACATGTCACTGACATCCACAATATGCATGGTTTCTTCAGTGCCACCAAAGCCATCTATGGTCCAAGCACTCAGGGACCAACCCCCTTGAGTCCTAAGGATGGAGGAGATCTGATCAAGGAAAGGAGAACCATCAATGCCCACTGGAAAGAGCATTTTGAAGACCTTTTTAACTGAGACTCTGCTGTTGACAAGACTGTTCTCAACTCCATCCCACAACACCCAGTCAGAGATGATCTTGGAATCCCTCCAACCCTTGACGAGGTGAGAGAAGGCACCAAACAGATAAAAAACAACAAAGCATTTGGAGCAGATGGAATTCCCACTGAAATCTTCAAACAGGGAGGAGAGGAGCTCACATCGCAGTTTCATCTCCTCATCTTAAGGATGTGGAATGATGAGGAAATCCCAGATCATCTCAGGGACGCAACTATTGTGACAATCTTCAAGAAAGGAGACAAGTCCAACTGTGGAAACTACAGAAGGATTGCCTTGCTGTCCCGCACAGGAAAGATCATTGTGAGAACCCTCTTGAACTGTCTCCTTCCAGTTGCTGAAAAGCTCTTCCCAAAATTCCATCATGGGTTTAGGGCTTCAAGAGGTACAACTGACATGATCTTCACAGCTTGCTAGCTGCAGGAGAAATGTTGGGAACAACATAAGCTTCTTTATATTGCCTTCACTGACCTCACAAAAGCTTTCAACTCTGTCAGTTGAGAAGTGTTGTGGAGGATCCTTCTGAAGTATGGATGCCCACCAAAATTTGTCATCATTCTCTGTCTGCTCCATGATGGTATATCAGCAGTGGTTCTCAGTAATGAATCTATCACAGATCTCTTTGAGGTTAAAACAGGAGGTAAGCAAGGCTGCATCATCACTCAAACACTCTTCTCACTATTCTTTGCTGTGATGTTACAGCTGACCACTAATTAGCTTCCAGAGTTAAAATACCGAATGGATGGTAAGCTGTTTAACCTCAGCCAGCTCTGAGTCAAAATCAAGACCACCCTGACCTCAATCATTGAGCTTCACTATGCTGCTGATGCTGTCGTGTGTGCTCACTTGGAAGCAGACCTTCAGGCAATCATCGATATCTTTACTGAATCATACAAGAAAATGGGACTGATGCTTAACATTCAAAAGACTAAGGTTCTCCACCAACAAGCTCCTGTCCCCAGCTCCAGTAATCCATATCCACAGTAAGACTTTGGAGAATGTTGAATTTTTCCCAGACCTTGGAAGCCATCTCTCGCAAGAGGGTGATATCAATGAAGAAATCCAACTACTCCTGAAATGTGCAAGTGCAGCCTTTGGACACCTGAAGAAATAGGTGTTTGAAGATCACAGCATCAGATCCAAAACTCAGGCCATGGTGTATCAAGCAGCTATGATCTCCAGCTTGCTGTACGGAGCTTAGGCATGGACAATGTACAGGAGACATCAAAAGTTGTTGGCAACATACCATTAATGCTGCTTGCAGAAGATCCTCTGAATCAGGTGGGAAGACAGACACACCAACATTAACATGTCATCCAAATGTCTAACTCCAGATTAGTGAAGCAAGTTTTATTTTCCCAACTCAGCCAAGAAGTACACTCAAGAGGAGGGCAGAGAAAATGCTTCAGGGATATCCTCAAGGCCAAATTAAAAAATGAAACATTGATGTCAACTCATGGGAGACTATCATTCAGGACCTCCCCGTATGGAGGAAGAGTCTGCTACAAGGATCTCAGTACTTTGAAACCTCATGACAATAAGAGGAGATGGAAAAGCAGGAGTGGCAGAAACAGTGTCACAGAACAAGTCAAGTATCAAGCACCAGCCACTCCACATGGAAACACACGTCCATTCTGCAGTAGAGTCTGCTGATCCCAGATAGGCCTCATCAGTCATTTTCGTACACATAGATAAGACAGTTATTGAAGACAATCATCTTTCACTGTGAGGGATTGCCAAAGAATAAGATAAATAATAAGCTGCACTTATGATATGGTGATGAACTAGTTCCTGTTTTTATTTAGTGAATTGATACTAACTTCCCAATAATTATTTCTCATATAAAATAGTATCTCATCAGGTTCTAGATCTAGAGCAATACCACCTGTCTCCAAACCATATTCTTCTCCCTTTGCCTCACAGAACTGTAAATCTGATATTTGCTGTTCATCATTAGGAGCTCCTCTTTCTCTTTACAACAGTAAAAATTGAAATGCTTAATTGTTTTTTAAACCCTGTTTTGCTGTAGATCTTTTTATCTCCATGATAAATACCAAAAGTTCCTTCAAAACAAAACAAAACAAAACAAAACAAAACAAAACAAAACGAAACAAAACAAAAAGCCTTCAATTAAACTAAAACTACTTTCACAGTTGTGCTCCAGCAATGAAACATCAGGCATGTTAATTTCTGCTAGCACTCAGAGACAATGTCATGACTTGGCCACCTGCCATAAAATTACTGTAGAAGCAAGTATAAGCAATAGGGGAGCATTTTGTGTTCTAGTCTTCCTTGAGCATGGAGAAAGTGGAAATATTACAAATTGTTTCAACACAGGGCTATGTTCTTTTAATGCAAACTAACCTGTATTTTGAGCATGTGGTAGACTGAAGTGTTTGCTTTCTGCATATCATTTGTATACAACATTCATTATTATAAAATAGAGAACTAGCTAGTAGCAGTATGCTAATTAAAGCATTCTAGTGGTTGCTAGGGGGGAGTCAGTGTTGCTTTTGTATACAACATTCATTATTATAGAGAACTAGCTAGTGGTTGCTAAGGAGGAGTCAGTGTTGCTTTTGTAAGATTACTTTGTAAACAGATTTAGTTGGCTGCAGTTGATCTTAATTTCTTGCACTGGATTTTATTTGACTCTTAATAGAAAGGATTTATTACTTATTGTCATAGCTACAAAACTGGCTGCAATGAAGC